GACCTCGTCTGAGGTCGTCGAACCGGAAGGTCTGTTAAGTAGATGTGTTAGTTCACACCTGGGATAATGTATGCAAAAGCCTTCTCAAGGAGGCACTACAGGAAGTGGAATATATTTTTTTCCCGTATCATTAACACATTAATAATGCTGTTTTGAGAGAATCTACACCCAGTTGGGGATAATCTCGTTAACTCCACCATGATTTGATCTCAGTATAAGGAAGACCTCTGAATGGTATTCTGACTTCAATGACCTAGTCTTGCAAATAGTCCCAGCTGCCTAGGAACAGCTCGTGGGACTTCAGGATGTGGCTTGATAGTGTCCATGTGTTAAGGGCATGGTGATGACGTCTGTCTGTGCATCATAGAAAAAGGGACTAAGAAAATTTCCCATGGTTTTTCTCATCAGCATAGCCATGAATATTGACCTCTTTCAATCTGGCTGCTGAAATATTCCACATAATACCTTCCACTTGATATATGTAATTATTTTAGTTTACCCAGAGAGTAAGATAAGGTGATTCCAAAGCTCATTTACTTTGAACCCAAAATGCCGCCTCTTAAAAATGTGTATAAAATGTAGGTGAGCCTCCTTTTAAGGAAAATTCAAAAACTCAATCTTCAGCACAGATGATTTGGCTATTTATTTTATGACATTCTTCTAATAAATTAAAATGATTCACCTTTTAAAAATATTTTAGGAACTATGTTGATTGGACAAAGCAAGAGGGATGTGCAAATTTTCTACCTTTTTTTATTTGAATGCCCAAATAATAGAGATCTCGGTATGACTTTAAATAAACCCAGTTTTTAAAATACTAGGACATTTTCTTTTAGAAAAGTAATCTCTGCTCTCTCCACACCAAACTACTATTTGCAATGTTGTAAAACAAAGAGAATATTACTGCTCATTGTGCATTCACCTAAGACTATACATTTTCATGAAAAATGAATGACATTTCTGTAGGAAGAAAGCAAGACTTCTTCATTGCTTTGGGGCACAGTGTTACTTGCCTTTGTCTTGTTCTTGGGCTCTGATGGTTCAGGGTTTTAGTTCATTGGTACATTCATGGAGGGGGAGAAAAGGAGGATTCACATCTTTTAAGGTACTCATTATACTTGGTGGTGGGTTAGTGAAGTTAATTCACTGGCTTGCAATTAGAAAAAGCCACAGTTCAAATCCTGTTTTATTCTGTGCCAGATGGCTCCCAGGTCTGCCGTTGTCTTCATCCTGCCCACCCAAAGTTGTATCAGGGC